ATAATATAATATAATATAATAAAAAAAAACAGTAAGCCATTCTCTGACAGGTTTATGAAAGTGTGTTTGGTGAGAAAAAGAACAGCATTTGAGAATATGGACAATTTTGACTTTGTATTATTGGTTTTTGGATGAGAGCTGTGATGTCCGTGACACAACCTAGTTGATTATCTTTCAGCTTAGGATATTGAAAAACTTTAAAGTCGTGGAGGAGCTGGCAGCAGTGCACTCAGTGAAAGAGACAACAACAGGAAGTGATTTGTTAATGGGGCTAAGTCCAGGCTTAGATAGGCTTGGGCTGCAATAGGATAACTGGCAGGTGTTATGATCAATATGTCTATAAATCTGGGAAAAATGTCCAACAATTTGAGTTGGGTGCAAGATAAAGTGACTAACAACTGAATATGGCACTGAATAAAAGTTTGTTACACTTTTGATGGGGGAGGAGACTGAACATGGTGACATAGGCTGCCACACAGCTGTCAGGTGGCTCAGCCTGAGCAAAGAGTGTGGAAACTGAGAGCAGAATTTCAAGAGTTTGTTGAGAAGAAGAAAGTCAAAGACATCCTAGAGCTCAAATGCAGAATGGAAAGACTAAAGACCTAAAAACCATATTTTCATTCGAAATGCTCATGACAAGGTTGTAGCTTCTTCAAAGCTAGTTGGGGTACAGCATTTTTATTCACATGCCAACAGTGAAGATGCTTCATGTTCTCCTTGAAGAAGTTTTATAAATCGAGATATAGATCCTCTCTCAGTGATGTTTTCCCACAAGGATCCAACTCAGATATTGAACCTGACTTTAATGCACTTGTTGAAGCCTGTCAATTGGTAGACCCACAAAACCCCTATACAGGAAGTTGATTTCGGCGCTCTGATAAAGAAAAGTCTTGATCCCGGATCCTGTGAGTCTTTCCCAGTAGATAATGCAGGGTTCTTCAGCTGATGTGGATGAAGGGACTCGTCCAGCCTGACTGCCTTTAACAAGCAGGTGTCTTCCCTGCTTGTCCTGGTATGAAAAAACTCAAGTAGCCTTGCAGGTGAAATTTATCAGGAATTTCCTTTGAGTCTTGGCAAAGGATAAGCACACAAAAAAGAGAATAATCAAATCACATGAATTCTACTTATTGAAGTAACTCACTCCAAGCTAATGTTCATGTTGTTCCTATCTTTGGCGGAAGAGAGGTTGGTGGTGAGATGGACACTTCCAGCACTGAAGATGTGCTTAGTGCTCTGTTAATGGTAATAATCAGGAATGCAGGATTCCTTGATAAGTCCCACATCTTCACAGAGGAAACCTTGAAAGTCTTGAGAATCTGCAATCCACTTGGAAAATGATTAAAGTCCAAATCCTTCACAGAATTATAATCCAACATGGCAAGGATGATGATGAGCAGAAATAAAGCCAAATCCAAGTCCGATCTGTAAGTCCAGTCCACCATAGCGCTTCTGCTGGAATTTCCAACGGTGAACTTCTGGAACTGCTCATCTCGCAGGGCGCCAGAGACTGACCCAGAACGCCTCCTGGCATCCCAGTTTATTCTTTGTCAAGTGCCCACTCACTCCACTTCTCTCTATAATAACTAGTCAACCAATCAGGTGTTTACATAAGATTCACTGATCTTCAGCCCCACCTTATCACTCACTCTTTATCTCTCTCTTTAAGTATGGAAAATGTCATTACATTGGAACAAGTCACCCACATGATCCCACATGCATACTGTACTTACTAAAGGTGTATTAATCAGCTGGTAACATTAATTTTATAGCACTGTGTATCTGCCAACATTTATAAAATCAGTAGGTACAAAGAGGCTTGAGGCTGAAAACTATGAACAGAGGAGATGGACAGATGAACTGTTTCCTTTGTTTTTCCCCTATAATTGTTGGTAATAACAGAAATAGAGGACATTATCAGCCTAATAATTTATCTACATGCAGCAAACAAGAATTTAATCATGAATTTATTCATTTGTCACTTGTTTGTCTGATTATCGTGTATGTGCTGGAGCTGCAGTGGCACAGACTGCACCCAGATAATCCTTCAGTTATTACACTATGGTTGACTAAAGTAGCTGTTTTAGGAAAATATTTAAAAGCCTCTATTTTGGGAACTTGTGACGCAGCAGTCCTTGCTTGTTTTAATCCACCACACAGTCCTCTGTTCACTTCTTCTCCACCAGCGATGCAGATCTCTTAGTCATTGTTGTTTCATCTGCGTGGTTCTTGCTTCTAAAAATACATATAAACTATGTGTGTGTCCGATCAAATGAATCACTCTCCGGCTCAGGTTTTTCTGCTATCCACTCCTCCTCTCTTACTGTCTCCTCTCTGTCAGCAACTCCTCCCTTCTTCCTCTTTCAGGACACGTCTCTCTTTCCGTCTCCAGCTTAAGCCTCTAATTGTCCTTCCAGTTATATTTATATTCGCATGCAGTCTGTGAGGAAGAGAGAGAGAGACGTCATGAGGCAGTCGATATGTCCCTGCGTGCATGCAGGTTGTCGCATCTCGTCAAAATCTAGCAGCACTTTCCCTCCCTGTCAGATTGCGTAGAGGAGTTACAGTTATATAAACCACAAATCCAGTTTCCTCCTTTCGTTAGGTTTATCTGTTTTATTACTGATGTGGCTTATTTTTCTATTCATCCTGAACATATAATGGGTATGTTTATTTTTAAAATCAAGAGAAAAATGTATGAAGTGCAGGGTGTTTGTGATGTACAAGCTGCGTGTCTGGCTAACCAGCTTAACTGCTGCATCAAAGACTTTTAATGTTTTTTGAGGTAGACGAAAAATCGCTGCAGGAATAATTTGTAATTAATGTATTTCACACAGTAGTTCTGGATTTTTAGCAGTTCACTACAAATGTTTATACAATCCAAACTAAGGACAGTGTTACCCAAGATGAGTTATCCAATATGTCCTGTCTGTTATTAGTTTTTTTCTGTTGAAACTTTTTAATAAAAATAGTTTAACAATATATTAATAGTTGCTTACACAGACCCAGAGATTCCCCGACCGGCTGTGAGTAGTTGTTAGAGGTTGTTTTGCAGGTACAGTAGTGCAAAATTGGTATGTAGTGCTGCACCGAAATCCTCCTTGCAGCTGCTTTGGTCACCACTTGATTGCTGTGGTTGCCTGTAGTTTGCATGGAAGACTCTACTCACCATGCAGGGGAAACTGTGAAAAGTGTGCTGCAGTAAATTTGAATGATGAATTTCTAAGTTTCACTACAGCTTGAGGAGTAAATGACGAGCGTCTGCAAACAAATTGGTACCTTCGAGCAAAACTACAGGCAACCATGTTAGCTAACAGGCGAGCCAGGATACAGCAGTCTTCTGTACCTACAAAGCTATTTTAAAATAAATCTGCTGAAAACATTAAAATGTAATTTAGTGTTTAATAAATCCACAGAGCTAAAAGGTGCTTAAATAACTAACTTGCTACAGTTTCTAAATTTAGCCTCATTTATTAAAATTACAATCAGTGTTTAAAACAATTTGCTGAAACAGTGATGTTACACCCTCGGTCACAACTGGTGTTGAAGTGATTTCTGTACACAACAATGATCCTGACTCACAGTCTATTAAAAAATTACATATATTTTTTGCACTAAGAAAGTTAAATGCATTTGTCTTGGTTTTTATTTTCAAACAACATTTTAAAACACTTCACTATATACAAAACTGAATCTACAGTCTGTCAAATCATATGATAGTTACAATTTGATAGTTTGTCAAGCTTGTAAGGACCATATATCTGTCATGATCCTGGGTCCTTTTGACCCAGCGTTTTGTGTTTTCTCTTCGCGATTTTGGTTCTGTTCTTCCTCTGGTTAGGGTTTACTCTGTTCTGCCTGTGTGTTCCTGTATCTAGTCCGCGTTTCTTAGTTTGTGTCCTTTCATGTGTAAGTTCCTTTTATTGTGAAGGTCTGTGTCTTATGTGAGTGTTTTGAGTTTGCCTCCCTAGTCTCGTCATGTTAATTACTCCCAGCTGTGTTCCCACCTGTATGTAATCCCCCTGTGTTCTCTGAGTGTATTTAAGTTGTGTCTTCTGTCATAGTAGTTGCTGGTTCGTCTGTGTTGTTTCCCCTCGGTCTCCCTGCGTCTCTTGTGTATTTCCCCGGACCTCCCTGCATCCTCGTTTCTGGTTTGTGTTATTAGCTTACCCAGTTTAGGTTTCCGGTTTCTTGTTTTTCCACCAGTACTGTTTTGTGCCCACCGTTGTAAATAAATATTCACCTGCACCAGAGCTGCCGCCTTTTGGGTCCTTTTCTACAACTCCACACGGCTTGCCCCGCAAACCGTGACAATATCTCTAAATAAATATCTTTTAATGGGCTCAAAAATATACCTTTATCTATATTTAAAATATATTTTGAATGTATTTACATTAAAAAATAAAAGCTGAATTAAAAGGCTGAAACATTCTGTGACAAATGCAATTATCAATATTTACAGAGGCATTTAACAATGAATACAAAATGAAGGCGATGTATTACAAAACAGCTGGTTATATTTTGTAAATTAGATCAACCAGAAGATTTCTTTTGAATGTTATTCTGAAAGTGCTGAACCTGCATCGGTTCTACTCGCCTGTTTTATGAAATGTCTCCTCTCCATCATCAAGGCTTTGTGAATGTAATAAATGTAGTTATTAAGACTATTTCTCATTTTACTCTTAACTCATCTGCATCACACATGTGATCAAAATGGTTAGCAAGAGAAAACGTATCTGTTAAAGTGATACATTATAAATGGCTTGTTTGCATGCTAATGCTAGCTCTGTTTCCACGCAAAGCAGATTGTAACTGCTCTAAGAACTCCTGTCACTTTCCTGTCGAAGACCAGAGGTTTATCCACAATATGCAACTGCAAACAAGCAACTGTAAGCTGCTACTGACTACAATAGCTTGACTGCAAGCAGAGTTAATCCTGCTTCCAGAGATGATTACCAGCTTCGACCACAAGATCGCAGTGATTTTAGGATTGGATACAGTTGAATACAAGACTTACGAGAAAACACAGAGATGAAAATAGATTTTTACATTTTTATTTATTTGTAAATTTCGCTGGACAAGCAGAACTTGCTTTGCTTGACCAACAGAACTCGATTTATTTTCTTTGTGAACTTCATACGTGTTCTTTGCAAACAGAAAGTATATCCACTGGCCACTGCTTTATCTGTTTAACTTCATATAATCAAATTCTTGTGTGTTTATTATAGTTGGTGAAATAACTGCATGTAGTATTAATGTTAAATGCTTCCCTCTATTTTATGTCCTTTCCAGGTCTATTACCAGGGCTTACTACCGTAACTCTGTGGGTGGGCTTCTCCTCTTTGACATCACCAATCGCCGATCTTTCCAGAATGTCCATGACTGGCTGGAGGAGGCTCGTAGTCATGTCCAGCCACATAGCATCGTATTTCTATTGGTGGGCCACAAGTGTGATCTGGAGGCACAGCGGCAGGTGTGTACACTGTAAAGTAGATTAAAACTGGATCAAAACAAGCACTTTCCCCTGTTGTGAAAGGTTACGCACTATGCAATACAACAAAGTCACAGTTTTAAAAATAACTTTTTTGTTCACATTTATTTATTTGTTTTTGTTTGTACTTATTTTGTTCAGAGGCACAGTTTATTGTCTTGGGTCAGTAGGCAGACAGAAATAAAAATATATCCCCTCTGAAAATTAGACAGCATAACACCACATCTACATTAATATCCCACCATCGTGAGAGCAGGAATAAAATGAAATGAA